AGATATAAAAAATAAATTTTTAAATAATCCTACATATTTTTTACATCAAAATGATTATAACATTTTGGAGGTGCACCTTAATCGGAAAGCATACCCTTTCGAAAAAAAATCTGATGTTTCTCGAAAAATACAGTTGTATATTAAATGGAGACTTTAAGTATGGCACGAACTACGAAATCAGTGGGCCAAGGTGGAGCGTGGAAACATGGCCACATGAGTTTTACAGTGGTGGTCGTGCCAATGTTATCTTTAACACCGAGGTGGAGCGTGGAAACATGGCCACATGTTTTTTTTTAAACCTTTAAATTTCCTTTCTGTCTGGCTCATATTATGGGCTACAGAGACAGCAAGAAAGAGAGAGATGGAAAGGCCCTTCATGTTTCTGGTCTTCCTCTTCTTTCTCTCTCCTCAGATTCAAGCTTCTCTCTCTCATCTCACAAGAGACCACTTCCCTCCTGCCTTTCTATTTGGTGCGGGCACTTCTTCATTGCAGGCTGGTACCTCTCTCTCTCTCACACACACACACTGCACCCACCTCGAATTTTCTCATTTCGACTCTCTCTCTCTCTTGTGCAGGTGGAGGGTGCAGCACAAGAGGATGGGAAAAAACCCAGTATTGAAGAGACATTTCCAGATGGAATACGTGGTTCGGATAAACTTAAAGTGGCCGCTGATCAATATCACAAATATAAGGTATTGTGTTTTATGTGCTTTTTTACTTTCTTCAATGGCAATGGCCATGGCCTTATGAAAGACAACAAATAGAGAGCGAATTTGGTGGTTTCCAGGAAGATGTGAAGCTTATGCATGAGATGGGTTTGGACGCCTACAGGTTTTCCATAGCCTGGTCTAGGCTCATTCCTGGTAATGATCATGATCTTAGTAGATGAAATCAATCGTTTCCTTTCTTTTTTTGGGGGGCGATTAATCGATGCTTCTATATTTTAAAATAACAAAAAAAGGTTTTTCCTTTATTTATTTTTCCTTTTTATTTTTATTTTTATTTTTTGTTTGCAGATTCATATATGTAGTTATTTTAGAAGAAAAATGGTGTGGAGGTCTAACCCAATGAATAAAATGTTGGGGCTTTGGATTGCAGATGGACGTGGAGCTGTGAATCCATTGGGTTTAAAATACTACAACAGTCTCCTTGATGAGCTCCACAGCCATGGTAGGATTCTCTCTCTCTAGATGAAATCATTAACCATGGCAACTCTCTACGGAACATAGTTACCTCTATAACCCACGACAAAACCCAGCAAACATTTTTAAACTGCTCTCTATGTTTTTTTTTTTTTTTTACTTCTAGCAACTATTACCAACAACACTAGATAGAGACTTGTAAGCAATGAAAAACTGATTTTTTCTCTAACTAAAAAAAAAGAAAGGAAACAGCTTAAAATTTCTATAAGAACCTCTGCTCTATTATAAACAAACATCTCAATCTGCATGAGGCACAATCACAATGTTTATGTACAAGAGGCTCTGATAAAGCATATAAATTGTTTGCACTTTCATACCATATATATGAATTAGGAGTCCAACAACTATCCCGTGACTTGGCGTGGAGCTGCTCAGCCAAAATCACAGCCTGTGACTTTCTTTTGTTTTTTTGGGTAAATCATCTGTTTTTTTTTTTAATTAAATAATAAAAGATAGTACAACTCATAATTTTACAACCCTATAGTAGGAATATCATAAAGTAAAAGTGTTTTAAAATAAAAGAAAAAATTTTACAATAGGAATATCATAAAGTACAAGAGTTTCAAAATAAAAGAAAATTTTACAATAGGAATATCATAAAGTAAAAGAGTTTTAAAATAAAAGAAAAAATTTTACAACTCTACAGTAGGATGCAGTATCATGAAGTAAAAGAAAAACTATAAAATCATTTTTCAAAAAAAAAAAGAAAAAAAAGAATTATAAAATCCAGCTACTTTAGCAAGTACTTATAGTTTCTCTCCAATTTTGGACCCCTTCTTATTCAAATCTTATCAGCCTACGAACCCTTTTTCTCTTCTTTAAATATACTAAATATTCCAAAAATTTGATGTAAGGTATCAACCACATAGTGGACCTAAAAAATTCACCCATAAAGATTGTTTCAATGTTAAAAAACTCAATAATCGATCAATATCAACTCATGGTGGACCTAAAAAATCCACCCATAAAGATTGTTTTAATGTTAGAAGACTCTATAATCGATTAATATCGACTCATGGTGGACCTAAAAAATCCACCCATAAAGATTGTTTTAATGTTAGAAGACTCTATAATCGATTAATATCGACTGCAAGATATATCGATATGAAAATAAGAGTGGATCTCAAGTCTTAAATATAGTAAATCTAGTAACACATTATTTATACTGTCCATTTAAAAAAATTTGAAGTCTACCCCGTACAACTTAGGCCAACTTAAAAAAAATGAGAAAAATCCTATATCAATAAAAATAGAACATTGATGTATTAAATATTTATATATGATTTAGATGCAATTGGAAAAGATTAGATTAATAAGTTTTATTTTTTGGCCATATCTCCGATTTTTATAATTTTTAGATTTTTTTTAAATGTTTCTCAACTAAAATAAGTTGTTTTAATCCATATTTTGTAGACTTTTTTAACTGTATATTTTGTATACTTTTTTAAATGTATGAAGCCTAATGCGTGCTTAGGGGATGGCCTAGCCCTGGCCCACGACTGGCCTGGATCACTAGAGCGCCAGCTGTGGCTAGGGACAGGTCTAAAGGAATCCTTGATCAATCCTGCCCTAAATCCTTGACTATGTAGCCTGGCCCTGACCATGGCCCGGTTCAAGCCGTGCCTAATTGAATTCAAGAAATAAAACATTTAAAAAGAAAAAGAAAAAGAGAGAAAATGATAGGCGAGGCTGGACTAGCCATGGCTTTAGCTACGGTGGCTTGACCCTTAGACAACTCTTGGGTCTTGGGCCTAGGCTTATAAGGTTTAGGCCAGGATAGGCCTCCCGGCCCATTGCCAGCGCAACTTATGTTGGAGCTTTATTCATTACCTCTCACTACTTATTCAACTGAACCAAGCTTGGTCTGCCCAACCTAACCAGGAAATGCCCAGTCCTAAATCACTAAATTTGGAACGAGGCCTAGGCCACTGCCTAAAATCTAGTACCCCAGTGTCCGGGCTGGGTTATTATTTTCATGAATTTTACAAAACAAAAAAACATATATATTTATTCCCCTATGCTCGGCACGATCCCTTTAACAAGGGTTGGGCCAAGCTATCTCACCGAGCCCAAAAGTACGTCCGAGGCATAAGCTAGGGTCCCTTTTGTCAGGTTCGGATATAGCCAACCTCATAGGTTTGGGACCGGACCAGCCCTGACCCAACCGTGCCTGGCTCTGTGCCACTCTTACTTATCCTGCCCTCAAACAAAGCCTGATTTCTATATTTTGTTAGTTTGCAACTTTAGTTACTCAACTTGTTGGCTTGGAAATAAATCTCTATTATATATTACTTGTGCCTTAGTTTTATTTCTAATTGCACATTTGGATGATTCTAAACTCTTCAGGGATTGCAGCACATGTGACCCTATACCACTTCGATTTGCCCCAGTCACTTCAAGACGAGTATGGGGGATGGGTAGACCGAAGAATAATGTAAGCCATCCCCTCATTTCTCTCTAAATTCATATCGAGAGTCTTATCCTAATTATTTGAGGTCGGCTTTTTAATCTCATTATTCATCATCATCATCGTTCGAGCCTTTCTCTCAATATTGTTTTTCAAATTTTGTTATATATAGTGTTGCACTAAGTGATTATAGTTCCAAATATTATTTTGTTATAGCTTTGCTTATGGGTAAGGTTTAGATGCATTCGGGGGCGTACCTGTTATGGCAAGTCCGCCCTCTCAAAATCCATCGCGTCGATGGATTTGGATTTTGGATGCAATGTTTTGTGGGTCCATCATCTAGACCACCACGATCATGAATATAAGAAAAATAAAATAATAATAATGACAATAACAATAATAATAGGTTTAAATTTAAAAAATAAATAATAAGCTCTAAGTGGTCTATTTTCTATACTTTTCTTGGACCGCTCATTTTAATTCTTCAAAGATCATAAATTCTAAACAATTTTGGAGATCTATATTCATGGACAGAGGCAAAAATAGATTTATAGTGATTTGGGATGTGTTTCGGGCCCTAAATACTTCGAAAACCAATGCAGGTGCATGCCTGATGACTGAGAAGATGCTCACAATTTCCTACACACTTCTCTTTTCTTTTTTTGAGTATTTCAGTTTCCAATGTGAACTATACTACATCTCAATCAATTTCCTATCTGATTTCCATGGACAAACAATCTCACTTTTTTTATGTTTTTGTTATATCAGTGAGGACTTCACCGCATATGCAGAAGTTTGTTTTCGAGAATTCGGGGACCGAGTAGTGGCTTGGAGCACCTTCAATGAGCCCAATTTTTTCACACTCGCTGGCTATGATGTGGGTTTGGCCGCACCGTATCGTTGCTCGATTCCTTCATTTTTTAATTGCTCAGAGGGAAACTCTTCAGTAGATGGCTACCTTACTGCTCATAACGTGCTATTATCACATGCAAATGCTGTTCAGTTATACAGAGAAAGATACCAGGTTTTCTTTTTCTTCTTTGCAAATCTCTTTGTACATTTCCAATTATAGATCTTCTAGAAAGACTCGAATTCTAGAAAGACTCGAATTACTTTTTCTGGGTGCAATTCTCATAGGGCCATGGCATTACAAAATTTGTATAGTTGCACTACAAATGTCTGCTGGAAAATCCAGTTCTAGCACCATAAACCCTTATGATAGGCAAATATATATTTGCCTACAATTAGAATTTTGAAGATCGAAAAATGGTACGGATATGGAAAATTTTTAAAGATTTGAAATGGAGTATCTGAAAAATCATGGTGCAGATCGACCATTATTAGCATTTGAAAAAATTGAATATCTGCAAAAAGATGGTGAAGATGGACCATTATTAGCATTTGAAGTCTACTTTTTCTTCAGATCCATGATCATTGAGGTGGAGATGATTGATTTACTGTCTTTTTTAATTATTAAATCCAGAACTGTGCTTTCTAGCTCCACAAATGGTTTTTACCATGATTGTTGAGGTGTAGAATTATAAAACTACGTCCCTATATAATACTTTCCCACTTTGTGATGAATTACAAAAATCTGAAGTTCTGTGCAGCCTAAACAAGGGGGTTCAATTGGACTGTCACTCATGTCACCCTGGTTTCTACCTGCTACAAACTCTTCCAAGGATGTCGCGGCAACCCAAAGAGTAGTTGATTTTCAATTTGGATGGTAAGTATAGTCATATATCCATGTTTCTCCCCAGATACGGCCTCCCCCGCCGTTCCTTAGGCTTAGGCTTCGGCTTAAGGGAAGAATTTACAGTTTCGGTGATGGAGGTCACAGGATCGAACCCTTCGTGTTTGTACTGAAATACATGACTTGGCCTTTCTTTGCCCATGTTTCACAAGTGTTGGACAAAATTGAAACTTGTGTATGTGTGCTTATGCATGAGATAGATATTCATTGTTGCATGCCAATTACCGATTCTCAAACAGGTTCATGGACCCTCTTGTACATGGAGATTATCCCTTGATTATGAGACGGATCGTGGGATCTCGGTTGCCGACTTTTGGAGAAAAGGAGTCTAAACTGCTAAAGAGCTCCATTGATTTCATTGGCCTCAATCATTATACAATATTTTATGTGCACGACGATCTTGGCAACTGGGATATGAATCAAACAGATTATATTACTGATGTTCATGCCAGAGTTTCATGTGAGTTCTTGAGATCCAACATACTTGTTCTTTGTGATGTTTGAAGTAGTCGGTACTAGAAGTCTTATAATCATCCTCTGGAAATTTGTTGATAAAATATCAATTAAATTGTCAAGCCATCTAAAAGAAGAAATCAGTGCTATGCTCAAATAAATCTATTGATCAACAGAGTGGCTACTTTGAAAAGATCATTTCATTCAAGCATCTCCTCAAGCATTATGTTTACAAAATACTCACTTTGTTCCGTTTGTTCTAGGTTCCAAATCCATATCGATTGTTTTCTTGTCCAATATTCCATATCCAAAGCATGGTAAATTTGGCCATATTTTGATAAATAATTGAGGAGATACTTAAGCGAAATTATCTTATTAACTTAGACTGCTTTCTTTGTTGATGATTGTTCGATTTGACTGCCTTAGTGATTTATTGATCCCACTCTTGGAAAAACCGGGCAATCTAACCGCTAATTTACCGGTATTTAAAAAAAATTCAAAAAAGTGTATAAATTCCCAAAAATAAGGAATTGGTTTGTAATGTAATTTTTAATATTCTTTATATTATGGTAAGAGAAATGATTCTATGGGACCTTCTCCCACCAATGTGTGTAGGACCCCTAAAGGATCACCATTAAAGTTGGTACAAATCTCTCGAAAAGTCAAGTTTCACACCTATGTGATACATATTTTAGAGATCCGTGTCAACTTTAATGGCGATCATTTAGGGTCCTACACACATGGGTGGGGGAGGGTCCTATAGGATCATTACTCTTATGGTAAATATTAAAAATTGTTTTGGTCATTAATACTCACTTTAATTCAAAAATAGATTCATTAAAACCCATTTCTTTAATAATTTTCAACTTCATTTGATGGTGTTTTGTTTTAATCATTTTTTATATGCTTTTCATATTTTAGTAGATTTTTTTTTTTTTATCTTTTTTATTCTTTTCAACGCTGTTTTGACCGCTCGGGACTTGCCTAGTTAGAAAGGCTGAATCGGTCGGTTTAATGGTTTGACTGATTAAACCGCTTTCGGACCCATGTCCGGTTAACTGTTTCGGTCCAATTTATTTTTTCGTTTTCAGGGGATGGTTCAGGTCACTAGCAATGAAAATATGCAGAGAATGTTTCCATATTCTTGTATAAAATGTTCAATTCCAATGCTTTATATAACACATTGTTATCTAAACATACTTCATTTTTTGTTTGAAAATAATGTTGTGCTAATTTTAATTGCAGTTCCTGGTGTCAGTCCATTCGAAGAGGTAATTCTCATACCTCTTATGTGATGAAGCCCTGATTTTGTTGCATGTAGGGCTGCTAACAGGCCCGGCTCTAGCCGGGAGCCATACATAGCCAGAGCCCGATCCAATCTTTTTAAAATGAAGTTCAAGCCTGGCCCAAGCCCGAAACGATTTTGTCAGCCAAGCGCTGTTGCAGTATATTTGTTTGTACTACTTACTGGTATATATTTTCATGTGGTAGAAAGGGGAGCAAGAATCTTTTCCTTCAGCAATGAGTGACTTGTTGGAATACTTCAAGCAGTCTTACAAAGATGTCACGATCTTTATACATGAAAATGGTAAAGCCCTACACATCTCTCTCTCTCTGGAAGGCCTAAAAATGGACGTTATATAATCTGATTAATGTAAAAGAACTAAGGTTTTTCACACCTATAGTAAAGATTTTGCTGTTTGTTTAATGTAACATGTGTAATCTCTCCTCAGGGTTAGCGTTGCCTCATGGTAATACCCCTCCTTCTCTTGAGAGTGGAGATGATGATCCTAGGGTTCAGTATTTGCAAGGGTACTTGGATGCCTTGCTCACCTCTATAAGGTACACTCAATAAACTCTAACCTAAAGGTTAAAAGGTTTTTCACGTACATTCTACTTCACCAATGCATAATCATAATTCAATTTCTTTTGGAAGTGTTAGTGAGAATGGATATCATGATCTTAATCGGATCTCAGGTGGTTATAAGCCAATATATCGATCATTGTTAAATTTTTTTTTTTTTTTGGTGGGGTGTGGGGTGGGGGTAATTAAGTGGAAATTGAGGGCCCCTAACCATGTGGGAATCGAATCCAAGACTTCTTTATGGGTCATTGTCTTGCCTCATTGGAGGTACTACTGCTCTAACCTCAGCCCATTTCCAAAATAAATGTGGATGATGAATGCCTCAGCTCCTTGGTTTATTCAAGAGAAGTGATTGGGTGCATTTAAAAGCCAAAAAATAAAAAATGCTCTAAGATCTATTTAAAATATATCAATGTAAATGATAACACTTTTCAAAATTTGAATAGCAAGCAACTGAATGAGTCGGATTGTCATCTTTGTTGCACTTCCTTTTGTCGCTCGACTTGAATCTCATTCCTCCGTTACTACACGACCTTCATTCAAAGCAAGTCAAGCAGCAAGGCCTGTGAAGTTCATAAATCAACGCCGTAGGCCCTGACACTTTTAAGTATTGGCGACGTATAAGGGGAGGTGTCTCGATGAGAGTGCTTCCTTGCTGCCTTACCTTTACCTTGGAGAAGTAGCCTGTATTTCTAAAAAAATTTAATGTTGTATAGGCAGTTTTAACAAATTTTGAATATATCTGGGGCACTCATGATATTAATACTTTAGCAAGAGCAACGCTAATCTGATAATACTGGTCAAGGACCAAACCATGCATATTAACTGATGTATCGCATGACCTTTTTTCTAAACATTGTTATGAATAAAAGGGAGAGAGTTGATCAATTTTCTCATCAGGAACCGCTTGATTGGAAAGGTCACCCAATTATTCAGTTTAGTTTCTCTTCTAAAGCATTGGTACCTTCAAATTCGAAGTCTTAGTTCATTGAAAATCGCCAAAACTTTAGCACAATGACACTTTTTTTATTTTTTAATTCCTTTTTTTAAAGCTTCATAATTGTATACAACAAACAATAAATGTAAGTAACCCATCAGAGAAAAAGAAATCAACCAAAATTTACTACACAACTGAACTCCATATGTTACAGCTAAGGTTATAACTTTCTCAAAAAGCCAATTTCAACTGCACATCTTGGTGAAGGTGCTTTTAAAACTTGATCTTGAATTTCGGACTTGCCAATAAACCCTCTTTTCCCATTCAGGAATGGATCAAATGTTGAAGGGTATTTTGTATGGTCATTTGTGGACTGTTTTGAGTTTGCTGCTGGAAAGGCATTTGGTCTCTACTATGTGGATTTCGAAGACGCAAACTTCGAAAGGTACCCCACCCCTTCTTCTATATGGTACTCAAACTTCCTTCATGGAAAGGAGGGAAGCAAAGTTAAGAGACATGTGTACCAAACAGAGCTTTCATCCTATATATGAGGTGATAATCCAAAGCAAAGACCTCCAGTTCTCTACTTCACAGTATGAATAAGATTGCAAACTCCGTTAGGCTATTTTGCCATGGAGGCGCCATGTTTTGTATCAACTTTAGCCTATGATGGGGCAGTGACCTTAAAGGAGGATATGGTGTTTATGGCTTCTTACTATGATATCTTGTAGATCGACGTTTAATCTTGTTGGATGGCAGAGTGTAAGTTTAAGTCTTGTTGGATGTGGAGTGAAATTTAGCATTCGTATCATAAATCTCTCTATACAATGCGCTACCTTCCTGCCTTTTTTATTCTTTGTTATAAGGGATGAGAACCTATTTCTTGTGTATGCATGTATTCTCATGCACGTATGCATGTTTGTGTGAGAGACCTAAATAACAAACAAGAACCAAGGTATAGGATTATTTTTCAAAAAAGAAAAGAAAAAAGAAACCAAAATATATAAAATTGGATTGTAGTTAATTAAATGAAACCGCAAACACCAAAATATATAAAATTGGGATTGTCTGAAAAAATGTTATTCATTTTTTGTACATAGGTCACAATCATTTTCATTCGTATTCATTAGATGCCATATTGGACGGTTTGAGATTTTAAAATTTAAGAGACGAGAATGATTGTGATTTCAAAATACAAAAGATAAATGGTCACTTTATACACTCTCATAAAATAGTAGTCCATCCAAAACGTTGTTATGTTGTATATATTAATAAAATAAAAAATAAAAAGTAAAATATGAAATTAATCAAACCTCTCTATTCATAAAAATAAAGTAATAAAATGCGTAAGCAAATTTGAATCTCACGTTAGATTTCTAACTACTTAAATCTTTAGTATCATTGAATTTATTTCTTACTCTTTATAAAAGTGATATCGGTTAAAAAAAAAAAAAGAGCCTTCATTGGTTTACTCTTTTTTTAATTTTACTTATTATTTTAGATATAGGATTGTTGTGCTTTCTGTTTTGGAATACATTATTTGTATTTTTTCATAACACTTTTTTTTTAAGGAAACTCATTGGTGAAATGCTTTATGAAATTTTTTGTTAAATGAAGAGATTTTACTTACTCCCACTGTAGATGTATTTATCGTTAAACCAAAATTTAATAATATTAAATTAATAAAGAAATAAAATTATAGGGAAAAAGATGTTTTAAAAAATTTGTAACAAATAAAATACAGATTTATATCGTCTCCATTAAACAAAAGTGACTTTTAGAAGGTCTTTTGAAAACATCATAATTCTTAATGGATTTCAAAAAATAACATATTTCTTGAAAAAAAATCGTGTTTTAAATGAAGACTTGTTAAATATGGTACGAACCAATGTTTAAAATATTGGTGACCCGATCTAAAATTAGGTAAAAATCAGTGATCTGATCCGAAATTGAGCGATCAAGATCAAATATCAGTTGAATGACATCACGACCCCATGATTTTGTACAGTATATAAAATCGTTATTATGGCACGTTTGGAAGTACAACCATCTTTTAATACTTGACATGGCACCATAGTTAGCAAGTCGGGGAATAATAATATATCGGTAAGCCAAAACATCGATAATGAATCGGTTTTGTTTCAAAAAGTTGGTGGAAAAAAATCGAGTAAAAAATATGGATTGCCAAAAAATGAGGTAAGTTACAAAGTCGTGAATAATTCGGATTTGTCTTAAAAAAAAGGAGTGAAAAAATCGGATATGTAAAGATGACATAATATAGGATTATGATTTGTAGTTATTGTATAGATACATTAAAGCCATTGAACAATAATTTTATGACCTAACCTAGTGTCCTTAGAGTGATACTTGACAATTTATTGTTTAAACTTTCAATAAGTCCAACAATAATAGTGTTTATTCTATTGGCACAACACGAAACATATCACAGATTTATTTGGAGCATAAAATAAAATATAAATAATACTTAACACAGGAACTACGTTAATAAATAACAAGAATTGTAAACTAAGATATAGGATTATTGTCTGAAGAAAACAAAAAACTCAAAAAAGACCTTTAGTATAGGATTGCAATTAACTAAAACAAAATACATACCCAAATACGTAAAAAAAAAAGTATAGAATGAGACCATTTACCTTTTATACAAGGTGGTCACAATAATCTTGACCATTTGATGTAAACTTGGGTGGCTGCAATTATTCCATTGACCAAGCTCAAACTTTAAAAGAATTTTTCTCGAATTTTGTGACACATTCAAGCTATCAAATTTCACATCAAATGGTTGTAAAGAATTGTGACCACCTTGTATAAAAGGTAAACGGTCTCATTGTATACAATCCATATGTAAAATAGCAGTCCATCAATTACTTACTGCCGTTAGAGTGATACTTGACAATTTATTGTCTAAACTTTCAATAAGTTCAACAACAGTGTTTACTATGTTATCACGACACAAAACATATCACAAATTTATTTGTAGCATAAAATGAAATATATATAATACTTTACACAATAACTACATTAGTAGATATCAAGAACTGTAAACTAAGACGTAGGATTATTGTTTGAAGAAAACAAAAAAATAAAAAAGAACATCAGTATAGGATTGCAATTAACTAAAACAAAATACATACCCAAATACGTAAAATAGCAGTCCATCCAAAATGCTATGTTGTACACACCAATAAAATAAAAAAATAAAAATAATCAAAGTTCTCTAATATAAAAAAGCAACAAAATGTTTAAGCAAATTCAAATCTCACGTTGAATTCCTTTCTGCTTAAATCTATAGTATACAAAATCTGCTTAAATATGCTTAAATCTTTAGTATTCAAAATCTTTAAGCAATTTTGAATCTCACACAAAATGCTCTTTATAAAGATGCATTGAGTTTATAGAAATATATATATATATATATTTTTCATTGTTTTTGTCTTCCCACTCTACCTATTATTTTGAGTTATACAATTGTTCTAATATCTTATTTTTTGGAGAATATATTGTTTGCAATTTTTTGTAAACTTTTTTAAAGGGAAATTATTGGTGACATATTTTATGGTATTTTACTTTAAATCAAGATTCTTAATTTACTCCTACTATTAATTTGCTTTTCTTTAATAAAAATTCAATAATATTAAGTCAATGAAGAAATAAAGTCATAGGGGAGAAGGTATTTAGTAAAAAGATAAAATACGAGTTGCATCGGTTCCATGAAAAAACACGATTTTTTGAAGATCGTTTAAAAAACTCGGAGTTCTAAACGGACTTCAAAAAATAAGACATTTTTTGAAAAATTCGTATTTTAAACGGAGAATTGCTAACTATATGTGGCCCCCCAAGTACCTTAAGATTTTAAACAATTCACATATTTTTTGAAAAAAATCATGTTTTAAATGAAGACTTGCTAAGTATGATACCAATTTAAAAAATTAGTAACCGATTTAAAATTGAGAGAAAATCAATAACCTGATCTAAAATTAAGCGATTCAGATCGGATTATAAGATCAATGGGCTAGAAATGCAATCTTTTTAAAAAAATGCATTATATTAATACTCAAGGGTTTAAATGTATGAATATCTTAATACAAAACTACAATATATATATTCTAGCCTAAAAACATGGTTTATATACATTTAAATAATAAAAATTCAGCCCTAATATGTCCCTTACAAATCCCATACCCAAAAATACATTTAAACTCATACAATATTCAAATACTCACAATCTACATCTCTATAAAATATTACATAACTTGCACTCGCAATTCCTCATTATATCAAAATTATATGATAATTCTATCTTCATTCTTCATCCTCATCATATATCACAATGTCTCATACACATCATACACTTGATCATAATTGTCCAATGAGATTTCAATTCACATAAACAATAAAGTATAAAATTAAAACTTATATCGCAAGATTAAAGAATAATTTCAATATTTACATAACATGCTCAATTTAATCAATCATGAAGCACTTAATAGATGTAAATACATCAAATTAACATACAAAAATTTATGGGGGAAGCTATCGTTTGAACTTCTTGTGTCCGGGCCACGAAATGGCTTTTTGAGGACTTAATTTGGTCGCATTGTCTTGAGCACGAGTGATAGTAATAACTCAATGAGATAAATCCAATGGGAAAAAAATAATCAGTTTTATTTCACTTAATAGGGATTAAATCATAAGAGAGACATATATCAAAATAGTCCTTCAAAGTTTGAGAGAGATACTACAAAAAATAAATGAGTTATGATAAAACTACACCATGTGGTCCGTAAGGGACCACATTAACTTTTCAACATTAAAAAAAGAACTCAATGGATTATTTCATGTGCTCAAATATGATGAAATTAATCTCTCATCAGTTGTATATTCTCAATAAATATTTCAGAAAAATAAGATCAATAAAATCAATGTAAAACTACTCAAGATCATGTAGTAAGCAAACTAGTCTATACATACAAATGTGCATGGACAACACTATTGCTTTGAGACTCCTAAGATATCAAGTTTTCATAACCAAAAGATAAAAAAAGCTTCTGTAAATTAAGAATTACAACAAGATTATAATAGAAATGATGTAGGAATTGAAATATATGATGAAAAATCATTACCTTAATGAAACATTAGTATTAGGTTGAGCATACATATGAGGGACTACTCCATAGAAGGGTTTCAAATAAAAGCTCAAAGAATAAGATAATGTCATGGGATGTCATGTTTTGTCAAGGGGGCTATCTCTCTCTCTTTGAAGTGAATACTCAAAGTATAGTTATAATTGATCTCATAAGTTACTTTTATACTTAGATCATAAAAATGGATTTGATCTTAATCCTTGATGCTTTAGATCAATGGTACATGATATGCTTTTATCCAAGCTACTCATCCATATCGTATCACCAAGATCAATAGATGATTTTTTGACATATTTCACTCCTTAAAACCTAGGATTAAAGTTATTTTACGTTAAAGCCCTTAACTCCATGTTTTATTTTCCATTAAGTCCAAATTCATGTTTACACTTATGCCCATGATTTTTTAATAATTTGTGAGAATAAAAAAAAGACAAGGACATTGACATAAAGGTAATATGAGACATCCACACAAATATCTTATGATACTACCAATAGGATTTCAACAACTCGAAAGTTTCACATGGGTCAAGCCCATAAGGTGGTGCCACATAAAATATGTCTACACGCCACAAAATCATATGTGGATAATAATATAAATCAAATTAATTCTCAAAATCTCATGGCTTCACACATGCTAAAAATGACACATGTGAGCAAAAACAACATGTGACTTAAATCAAACTTAAGTCATAAAAATATATAACACTGTAAATAACAAGATAACATGTTATAACATAATACCAACAAAATAACTAATGACAAATAGGTCCCCACATGGATATGACATCATCATGATGTCATCCATGAGTATGGAGATGCATGTACTACGTCGCATTCCTACGGCCACTTGGGATCCATGTAGCATGCTTATAGGATGTTCTTGTTTGGTATTTATGTCAATCATATTTTTTATGATTTAAAAATTATGAAATTTTTTTAAAAAATCTCAAAAATTCTCTAAACGATTTTTCAACATTATTACACATTTTTCATTAATATAAAATCTTTTCTCATCAATTTTAGTTTAATTTGGGCCAAATGTAATGAGATTTCTAAACTTATAACATTAGTCGAGGTCTTCCATTTGGGTTAACCCAAATAACATTCCACATGTATCTTAAGCCGATCCAACGGACCTATGCTCCACAATCCATGACAAAGACACATAATTGGTCACATCATAATTGCTGAGTCAGAGCTTCCCGTCACTAAGAGTTCAATGGATTACTGGTGCACCTGGGATATGTTCCTACTCAAATACAGATCTCCTGTCAAAGTACATGTGTACTAGTTCTTTTAAGTTAGATAATACTATAGAAGAGTGGTTTCTCCAAACGACTGTGGGTGCACATATCATGAAACAGTCTCATGTCAGGATACGGGCTCATGTCCTATGAGCCAACTATTCCATATAGAACAAATACGCTTTTAAATACTCAGGTTTTAATATTCTCGATTGTATTATCCAAATTCTGACTTCTTGCATCAACTATGAGGCATTCTAATCAATAAAGTTCTGACTGGGAGGTAACCCCCACACCTCCCCGAGAGTTCACACTCTCAAAATGCATACTCTCAATGTCTCAAGTACTTGAGGTATATGCATATTGGCCCCCGTGCGTTAAACACTCAAATTCAGTATCTCTCTAATTCCCACTGAGCGTAAAACTATTGGCTTCAAGGCCTTGAAATGCCACATAGCCAACATTCTCCCACTTGGCCTTTTGAGGCCTTATTACTAATTTTTTCTCATTCTTATACATAATGAAATAATTCAAAACATCCATTCTCTAGCATAAAAGCAATACTCATATCAAGCAAGGAAGCAAGTTTCAACAACTAAGTTAACTTTCTCAATCTCTTATCATGCACAAGCATAAACTATTGTATGCTCCATAAGCATAGTCAATCAACATGGCCCATTAACAAAATCAATAATCATGAATCAATAAAAGCAAGTGTGGTCAAACATACGCAATCGTAAGAGCAAATTGTCATGAACTCTTTCTATGTCTGGTGTATATCATAAATCACATTTTAAATGTCATGTTTGATCTCATTCATGCACGTATTTAATTAAATATCATGCAGCTTATGTGTCAGCATTTCACATCATACTCATGTCAATGAGTTTTTGACACCTTTCACTCCTTAAAACCTAGGTTAATAAGCATTTTACTTAAAGCCCTTAGCTCTATGTTTTATTTTCCATTAAGTCCAAATTCATGTTTACACTTATGCCCATGATTTTTGAATAATTTGTGAAAGTTAATAAAAGACAAGGATATGTACATAAATGTAATATGAGACACCTATACAGGTGAATAAAAGATCTTATGATACCATCAATAGGATTTCAACAACATTAAAGTTTCACATGGGTCAAGCTCATAAGATGATGCCACATAAAATATATTTACATGTCTCAAATTCATATGTTGATAATAATATACATAAATTAATTTTCAAAATCCCATGGCTTCATACATGCTAAAAATGACACATCTGAGCAAAAAAAAGCATACGACTTAAATCAAATTTAAGTTATAACAATATATAACACTTTATATAACAAGATAACATGTTATAACATAATACCAACAAAAGAACTAATGACAAATAGGTCTCTATATGAATAGGACATCAACATGATGTCATATATGAGTGGGGAGGTGGGGGTGGCACGTGGCATCCCTATGGCCACTTGGGCTCTATGTGGCATCTCATAAGATGTCTTTGTTTGGAATTTATGTCAAACAAATTTGAAATTCTCATTTTTTATAATTTAAAATTGTATTTTTTTTTTCAAAAATCCCAAAATTATCTAAATGATTTTTTAACATCATTACACATTTTCTCATCAATATAAAATATATTCTCATCAATTATAGATTAATTTGGACCAAAGGTAAATGAGATATCTAAACTTCTAATACTAGTCGAAGTTTAGAAGTTTTACAGGTGTCTCAAGCCGACCTAATGGACCTATGCTCCACAGTCTATGGCATGCATACATAATTTGTCACATCAAATCGCTGAGCCAGAGCTTTCCGTCACTGGGAGTTCAATGGATTACTGGTACACCCCTGTGGGACATGTTCCTGCTCAATACATGGGTCCTCTCAAAGCACATGTACACTAGTTCTTTTAAGTCAGATAATACTATAGAAGAATGGCTTCCCCATACGACTGTGGGTGCACATGTCATGGAACGGTCTTGTTTCAAGATACATGCTCATGTCCCATAAGCTGACCATTCCATACAGGACGAATACTCTTTTAAACACTCAGGTTCCATTATCTCAATTGGATTCTCCAAGCCCTGGCTTACCACATTAACTATGAGTCATTCTAATCAATAAAGTCATGACTGAGAGGTAACACTCACACTTCATCAAGAGTTCACACTCTCAAAACGCATACTCTCAATACCTCAATTACTCGGGGTATAAGAATATGGGCCCCAGTGCACCAAGCACCCAGATTCAATCTCTCTCTAACTTCCATAAACGCAAGACTATTGGTTTTAAGGCCTTAAAAGGCCACATAGCCAACATAAACCTCCACGCTTTGATGCGAATTGTTGTCTTAATCAATTAAAAGTTGAAATCTATTTCATGGAACTATCAACGACAAAAGCTAGCTATGCATTACTACATTAAATACCCCCTTCTTCTTTTATGTAGTGTGTTGTGCTGTTGCCGTAATCAATTAAAAGTTGAAATCTATTTTCATGGAACTATCAACAACAAAGGCTCGCTACGCATTACTACATGAAATACCCCCTTCTTCTTTTTTTGTTGCGTGTTGTACGCCGAGATGTTGATGGATCCAATCATCTCTGTTTCAAATTTTTATTTGTGTTATTAGCTTTTACATATTTTCTCTTTTGAAAAAAAGTCAACTCATTAGCTTTTATATATTTTCTCTTTTGAAAAAAGTCAACTCAGTTTTGTAAAACTTATAGGGGGTTTTATTTTTGTTTTTAATCATATAATATGAAAATATTTTTTAATAATTTTTAATCATATTTATTATAATATTATAATTAATAATTATACATTGATAATCAATTATTCTATTTATTGCGTTGTTTGAATTATATATTGGAAAAAGTTTATATAGAGCCGAGGCTCTAAACAATCAAATTAGAACCCACCTCAAAAATTTCATTAGAAGAGATTGTTTTGATGCCCAAATATCGTCAAATTGATCATCTTGATATCAAAATACATAGACATGAGAAAAAATAGATTTCAATTTTTGAAAATAGTACATCTTATAACGCATTTTGGACTGTCAATTTTCAAGATTTTCAAATTTTCATAGAACCGCTTGATCTACACTATATTTGAGGCTTTAAATTTTATAATTAAAGATTGCCGTTCAAAAAACAAATTAAAATTAAAGATGAAAATATATTTTACGGCTATCACAAAGATTTCCAGTATTGAAATTGCATTTCTCGACACTATTTGAAGGTAGGCTCTAATTTGATTGTTTTGAGCTTCGGATCTATGCAAACCGTAACCTTATAAATTATGTATTATATTATATTTTCTTATAGTTGTATATAAGATTTTTTAATTAGATGGTATTATAAAAAAAATTAAATATTTTTTTATTTGTACAGTCAAGTAATGATAAAATATAAACTAACCATTTCAGTTTTAGTATATAATATTACAATTAGTTAGGTTGTGATACCTCTGGATGAGTAAAGCGGAACTAATAAATGTTTGATACTTTGATGTGATCCTAATTTCATTTGATATGAAAAGTTTTTTTTGGATTCTTATAATATGAAAGTGTTTTTTAAATATTTTTAAATTATTTGATGCAATAATATAATATTATATTTTAATTAATAATTATACAAACATCCAAACATGAAAAGAACGTTTCAATATTCACTTATTTTTACAAAGTAATGACAGTACATAATGCATCACTCCTAATTTTTTTTAAGAACTAAAAAAATATTATTTTTTATTATTTATAGTGATTTTTCGAAAAAAAAATTGAGACAAAAATTATTAATTCAGCCAATTTTTTTTATCCAATCCACCGATCTACGGATCCGACGTCATGTATGGGTGGAGGTCAATTCGAATGACGGAACCGATTTTTTAAACCTTATACGAACTATGGAGTACGTTCCGTTGAGGTTTGGAGCGATTTCCATCTCTTTACATTTCCATATCCTTTGGGTGCATATTATGAGCCACAGGTTTGAAGGCAACACAACACAGCAGGAAAGAGAGAGATGGAAAGGCTCTCCTTTCTCTCTCCTCAGATTCAAGCCTCTCTTTCTCTCTCTCATCTCACAAGAGACCACTTCCCTCCTGCCTTTCTATTTGGTGCGGCCACTTCTTCATTGCAGGCTGGTACCTCTATCTCTCACACACACTGCACCCACCTCTAATTTTCTCATTTCGACTCTCTCTCCCTTGTGCAGGTGGAGGGTGCAGCACAAGAGGATGGGAAAAAACCCAGTATTGAAGAGACATTTACAGATGGAATACCTGGTTGGGATAAAATTAAAGTGGCCGCTGATCAATATCACAAGTATAAGGTATTCTGTTTTATGTGCTCTTTTGCTTTCTTCAATGGCAATGGCAATGGCAATGGCCTTATGAAAGACAACAAATAGAGAACGAATTTGGTGGTTTCCAGGAAGATGTGAAGTTATGCATGAGATGGGTTTTCCATAGCCTGGCCTAGGCTCATTCCTGGTAATGATCATGATCATAGTAGATGAAATCAATGGTTTTCTTTCTTCTTTTCGAGGCGATTAATCGATGCTTATATTTTTTAAAATAACAAAAGAAGGTTTTTCCTTTATTTATTTTTCCTTTTTTTTTTGTTTGGAGATTCATATATGTGGCTATTTTAGAAAAAAACTGGTGTGGAAGGAATGAAATGTTGGGGCTTTGGATTGCAGATGGACGTGGAGCTGTGAATCCACTGGGGTTAAAATACTACAACAGTCTCCTTGATGAGCTCCACAGCCATGGTAACCCTCTCTTTCTCTCTGTTGATGAAATCGTTAGCCATGGCAACTGTCTCCCTACAATAAGATCCTCACTACCCCACACCCTGGTGTAGAGGGGCTCAGCCAAAATCGGAGCCAGGTTGGAGCTGGGATTTTTTTTGTTTTTTGTTTTTTAGGTAAATCACCTATTTTTGTATTTTTTTTCAATAAAAAAATAAAGCTAACGTACAGGCTCATAATTGTATAACTCTTCAGCAGAGCGAATTGTGCAGCTTCATTTGGTAAAAAAAAAAAAAAAACTATAAAGTACCATTTTTTAGTTAGAAAAAGTTTATATAAGGATGCAACCTTATAATGTAGAACTACGGATGCACCTAAAAATTCATTGGAAAAGGTAGTTTTAATGTTGAAAAACCCTTTGATTGATCATGTGGACATCGAGATGTATGACCATGAAAAATAAAAAGATTTTAAGTCTCCAAAATAGTGTATTTTACGACATATTATCTACACAGTCCATTTTCAAGATAATCTTAATTATACTTTATATCAAAATTATATAGCATAGTAAGATTTGAAGGTGTACCTTACCTCTACAGCTACATATGCATCTGTATACCAACTGCACCCTTTTTAGTTTGGCTAGGCTCTAAACAATCAAATTAGAGCCTACCTTCAAATATTATCGAGAAATGTGGTTTCAATACTAGAAATATTTGTGTTAAAATATATTTTCATCTTTATTTATAAAGTTTAAAGCTTCAAAAATAGTGTAGATCGACATATCTATGAAAACTTGAAGAATGGGTTAGCCCTGGCCCACGACTGGACTGGATCACTAGAGAGTCGGTATGAAGGAGCCCTTAATCCTTGACTCAATAGCCTGGCCCTGGCCTTGACCCAGTTCAAGCACGACCTAATTGAATTCACAAAAGAAAACATTTCAAAAAAAGACAAAAAAAATAGAGCAAATAATAGGGCACGGCTAGCCATGGCTTTAGCCAAGGTGGCTTGACCCTTGGAAAATTCTTGAGCCCTGAAGCCGCCCTGGCCAACTCTTGGGTCCCGGGTCTAGGCTTATCAGAATAGGCCTCTCGGCCCATTTCTAACCCTACTTGTGTTGGAGCTAATTCTGTGCCTCTCATTACTTATTCAGTTTAGCCAACCTTAGTCTGCCCAACCTAACCCTATTCAATGACACTCTTACAACCATCCATTTTGAAATTTAAGAGACAAGAGTAATTGTAACCTCCTTGTACAAAAGATAAATGGTCTCTTTATATGCAATCCCCTTCTTTTGGATTTTTTAGTTAGCAACTTCAGTTACTCAACGTGTTGGCTCGGAAATGAATCCCTATTGCATGTTACTTGTGCCTTAGTTTTCTAATTGCATATTTGGATGCTTCTAAATTCTATAGGGATTGCCGCACATGTAACCCTCTACCACTTCGATTTGCCCCGGTCACTTCAAGACAAGTATGGAGGATGGATAAACCCAAGAATAATGTAAGCCTTCCACTTCTCTCTCTCTAAATTCATCATCACCATCATCCAAGCCTTATCCTAATTATTTGAGATTGGGTTATTTTCTCTCAGTATTCATCATCATCATCCGATCTTTTCTCTCAATATTGTTTTCCAAAGTTTGTTATATAGTGTTCTGCTCAATGACTATAGTTTGAAATATTATTTTGTTATAGTTTTGTTTATCGATAGGGTATAGATGCATTCAGGGGCATACCTATTATAGCGAGTCCGCACTCTCAAAATCCATCGTGCAGATGGATTTTGGATGCAATGTTTTGCAGGTCCATCATTTAGACCACCACGATCATGAATATAATGAAAATAAAATAATAATAATGACAATAGCAATGATAATAGGTTTAACTTTAAAAAATTAAAATAATAAGCTCTAAGTGGTCTATTTTCTACATTTTTCTTGGACCGCTCATTTTAATTCTTCAAAGATCATAAGTTCTAAACAACTTTCGAGCTCTATATTCATGGACTGAGTAAATAATTCGAAAACCAATTGAGGTGCATGACTGATGACTCCCACGACATCCTACACACTTCTCTTTTCTTTTTTTTGAGTATTTCAGTTTCCAATTTGAACTATACTACATCTCAATCAATTTCCTATCTGATTAATATGGACAAACAATCTCACTTTTTTTATGTTTTCCTTATCAGTTAGGACTTCACCGCATATGCAGAAGCTTGTTTTCGAGAATTCGGGGACCGGGTAGTGGCTTGGAGCACCTTCAATGAGCCCAATTTTTTCACAGGCGCTGGCTATGATGTGGGTCTTATCGCACCATATCGTGGCTCGTTTCCTTTATTTTCTAGTTGCTCAGAGGGAAACTCTTCAGCAGATGGTTACCTTGCTGCTCATAACGTGCTATTATCACATGCAAATGCTGTTGAGTTATACAGAGAAAAATACCAGGTTCTTTTTCTTCTTTGCAAATCTCGTTGTACATTTCTAATTATAGATCTTCTAGAAAGACTGGAATTACTTTTTCTGGGTGCAAGCTTCACTGAATTTGGTAAAGTTGCACTGCAAATGCATGCTGGAAAATCCAGTTCTGGCACCAGAAACCCTTATAATAGGCAAATATATATTTGCCTATAATTAGAATTTTGAAGATCGAAAAATGGTACAGATTTGGAAATTTTGTGAAGATTTGAATTGGAGTATCTGAAAAAACATGGTACAGATGGACCATTATTAGCGTTTGAAAAAATGGAGCATCTGCAAAAACATGGTGAAGATGGACCATTATTAACATTTGAAATCTATTTTTTCTTCAGATCCATGATCATTGAGGTGGAGATGATTGATTTACTGTCAGTTCTTGGGAATTTCAGTCCATTGGAAGAAGAGGTAATTCTCATATCTCTTATGTGATGAGGCCCTGATTTTGTTGCATGTACGGCTGCTAACAGACCCGGCTCTGGCCAGGAGCCATACATAGCCCGAGCCCAACCCAATCTTTTTAAAATTAAGCTCGAGCCTGGCCGGAGCCCGAAACAATTTTGTCAAGCTCAATGCAAGCCCTGTCGCAGTATACTTATTTGTACTACTGACTGATATATATTTTCATGTGGTTGAAGTGGAACCAACCAGCTTTTCCCTTCAGCAATGAGTGACATGTTGGAATACTTCAAGCAGTCTTACAAAGATGTCAAGATCTTTATACATGAAAATGGTAAAGCCCTACACATCTCTCTCTCTCTCTCATGGGTTCGAAGATTAACCACATTAGCGTGTCTCTCTATCTCTTTTGGAAGGATCACCAAAACCCTAAAAATGGACGTTATATAATGTGATTGAAGGAAAAGAAACTAGGTTTTTCAAACCGCTAATAAAGATTTTGCTATTTGTTTAATGAAACAATTTATAATTTCTCCCCAGGGTCATGGTGATACCCCTCCTCCTCTTGAGAACGGAGACGATGATCCTAGGGTTCAGTATTTGCAATCGTACTTGGAAGCCTTGCTCACCTCTATAAGGTACACTCATTAAATTCTAACCTGAAGGTTAAAAGGTTTTCACTTGCATTCTACTTGACCAATGCGTAATCGAAATTCAGTTTCTTCTGTAGTGTGAAAATAATGTTAAAGAAAAAAAACAGTTTTTTTGAAAGTCTTAGTGAGAATGAAGGCCATGACTTTTAATTGGGATTTATGGGGCCCTGGTGGTTATAAGCCGATATATCAATCATCGTACCTTTCTTTTGTGCGTGATAGTGGGAATTGAAGGCCCTTGCCCCTTTGGGAATGGAGTCTAAGACTTCTTTATGGGTCATTGGAGGCACTACTGCCATGACCTCAGCCCATTTCCAAAATGTGGATCAATATGCCTCGGTTTGGCTAATTCAAGGGAATTGTTTGTGTGCATTTAAAAACCAAAAATAAAATATAAAATATGTGCTCTAAGATCTATTTAAAATATTTCAATGCAAATGATACGTTTTTGAGATTTCGAATATCATGGATGTGGTTCTAAAATTTTTTAATGTTGCGTAGGTATTTTTAGCAAATTTTGAATATATCTGGGGCACTCATTGAAGTGCAATTCACATCAAATTATTTTGCAAGCAAAACCCGAAGACCTCAAACTTCAGCAAAAGCAAATTGAATCTCATAAACACCGGTCTAGGAACGAGCCATTCATATTGACTGATGTATCCCATAACCTTTTTTTCTAAACATTGGTATGAATCAAGGGGAAAGAGTTGATCGATTTTCTGATCAGGAACCGCTTGATTGGAAAGATCACCCAATTATTCAGTTTAGTTTCTCTTCTATAGCATTTTTTTATTTTTTTGGAAGCGACTCTCAGCTATAGCATTGTTACCTTCACATTCAAATTCTAAGTAAATTGAAAATCGGCCAAAACTTTAGCACAAACCCATCAGGGAAGAAGAAATCAACCAAAATTTACGACAGTTGAACTCCATTTGTTACTACTAAGGTTATAACTTTCTCAAAAAGCCAATTTCAACTGCACATCTTGGTGATGGTGCTTTCAGAACTTGATCTTCAATGCCTGACTTGCAAATATACCCTCTCTTTTCATGCAGGTGGATCAAATGTTGAAGGGTATTTTGTATGGTCTTTTGTGGACTGTTTTGAGTATGCATTTCTAAAGACATTTGGTCTTTACTACGTGGATTTTGAAGAGAGAGACATCAAAAGGTACCCCACCCCATCGTCTATATGGTACTCAAACTTCCTTCATGGAAAGGAGGGAAGCAAAGTTAAGAGGACAGAGACGTGTGTACCAAACAGAGCTTTCATCCTATATGAGGTGATAGTCCAAAGCAAAGAACTCCAATGCTCCACTTCACAGTGATGAACAAGATTTCAAATAAAAGTTAACCTTTGTTATGGCTTCAAACTTTGTTAGGCTTTTTTTATAACGATTTCAAACTTTGTTAGGCTTCTTCTGCAATGGAGATGCCATGTTTTGTATCAACTTTAGACTATGATTTATGGGATAGTTGTCTTGAGGAGGATATGGTGTTTATGGGTTCTCGCTATGATATCTTGCAGATTGAACTTATATCTTGTTGGATGTAGACTGAAAGTTATCTTGTTGGATATAGGGTGAAATATAGCATTCGTATCTTGTTCTCATCCCTTATGTAAAAAGGGATAAGAACCTCTCTCTTGTGTGTGCCTATATCCGCACGCATGTATGCATGTTTGTGTGAGAGAGAGGGGGAGAGAGATTCTTGAAAAGCCTACGTGAGATAGAGATAGAGAGAGAGAACGGGCGAGAGAGAGATCATCCTATAAATGTCCGAGAGAAAGAGGGAGAAGGATTCTCATCTTCATCATCATTCGAGCTTTATTTCAAATAGTTGAAGTCAGCTACACAAATATTTTTCCACCATTCTGTTCTACAAAGGATCATTCCCTCAGTAAGAGGGTAAGTCGTCATATCTTTTCTCGTTACTTTCTTCGATGTCCAAAAATGTCTATAAGAAAGAGAGGGGGATCCAATATTAGGACAGCCTATGTGAGAGAGGGAGAGGTTATTCTATAAACATCTGAGTAAGGGAGAGTGATCCAATTCTAGGAAAGCCTATGAAAGAGATAGCGATCCAATTCCAGGAAAGCCTATGAGAGACTACGAGAGAGAGTGTGTGAGAGAGAGTTTTTTTTTAACACAGTCAATATACATAAGGTCCAAGAGATCTTTGAGTAAAGTTCAGGAATACCAGATATAAACTAGAGGCTATCTGCCTGCTTACCAATTAGCCCTGTAATAATTCCTGCAAGGAAAATGTTTCCATAGCCCATGGGCTTATGCTACAGCATCGACCCGAGCTTTTTTGGACTGGAATTTTGCACATCTTTGGATAGAAAAAGAAAATTGATATTTTCTTGAAGGCCTAGATCCATCGGCCATCAATTGGATGGCTCGCGGTAACAAAAGATGGCGGACTCATTTTGAACTTCGATTTTATTTGAATTAAAAAAATTGGATCGCCTATGTAGATGGCTTGAGTCAAACTTTGGGTTCCACCATATCCCTCTAACTCAACGCGAATGGGCATATGCTACAGTATAAGCTAGTTCACGTACAGGATCTTTTTCCTCCTAAATTATATTACAAAGCAAGGTATATATGACGTCAAATCTTTTCAAACATGCAGCAAAGAGAATGGAAGTAGGTTCCAAGTTAAAAAAGGAAAAGAACTGTTCAAGTTAAAATGCTTATACAAATGAAGATTCAAACTATACAACAGCAAAGAGAAGCCCACCCCTACAAATATAATGCCAAGTACAGTTATAGCAAATGAATAATCTATACAAAGCCTATAATAACGGATGGAATTCTCGGGTTAAGAACATGCATATTTTAACAGTTCGAAAAGAACTGACAAAACTTGGCCAACTCATTCATCATGAACACATTGCTTTCTCCAATAGCTCTTGCAATTCCCCATTTTTATATGCCTCTGTCAAGAATACCATAATTCAGGAAAATAATGGTGGCACTAACCACATATACACATTTAGTTGGTAAGCATAGATTAAAAAACTTATAGAATAATAGTAATACAAGGTGACCTTTCTATATGTCTCCACAAGCATATAATTTATATGTCAAGAGTCATCCAGCCGAACAATCTTGATCACATGCTTAATTATGAGCTGATAACAATGCATACATTAATTATAACCAACCACGGTCTATAAAAATGTCCACAGAGACACACAGAAAGGTTTTCCATAATAATATTGAAGCTTGAGGATTCAACTGTTCAGGTCCAGCAAAGTGACCAACACCAGGTTGTGTTTTCAAGAAACAGGGGGATTTGTAGTATAGAAATGGGAACAGATTAGAATTGGATTTTACCCCAAAGAAGTTACTATACATATTCAATTACACATACCCAATAAAGTGGGAAGAGATTAGAGTTGGATTTTACGCAAACAAGTTACCATACATATTCAATTACGCATACCCAACAAAGGTTTTTTTTTCGCTTTTTTTAAAGCCATACTAGATAAGCTGCTCACCACCACGAAATTTCAGAATGACTTAAAGAACTCAGTTTGGCATCTAGACATGCATTGTTTCTCCAGGGGTTATGTTTATTTACATTCAAAATGACTTAGGGCACGTTAAGAAAGGGTATTGAAACTGCCAACACCTACCCCCATTCAAGAATAGATTTGGGAAGAGTCCCCCAGCCCCTTTCTTTTTCTATTTCATGGAAATGCATTGGGAAGCCACAGCTATCGCATTTGTGATTTCAACAGGCCGCTCTCCCAAACCCAGCCATAAATGCAGGTTGCTTTATCTCCTTTTATTTGCAAGTGACGATTTCATATTTCTTAAATAATCAACCATGATTAAGGGCTGAATTTGCACATAAATCAATATATGTTTCGGCGAGAATTAGGAACCAAAACGGTATGTGTAAATCTACAGTACTCCACCCCAAAAAGCTTAATCATATAGAACTAATAAGTGGGCGTGAAGTTATATACATATGAAAATAAGGAATTAGTTACTAAGTGCAATGCATGTCAGTATTCAGCAATAACTAGAAATTATTACAAACAGGTGATATATTACGCATATAATGCATGTAAATGTAATATCTTCAAAACACTATTACTTGAGAATGAGGCAGGGGTCATGGTGGTAGTACCACCTGAGCCCATTTAAAGGTCATGGCCTCCATCCTCACTAACACTTTCAAAGAATTGAATCTTTCCAAAAACGGGTAAGGGCTTGTAATCCCTACTGATCTACTCAAAAAAAAAAAAATCACTATTATTTAATAATGTAAGCATGCATTTATATAACAATGTGGAGCATAGCATGCTAAGAGGATCATCATAGAACTTCTACTTCCTTTGTAATTTATACTATGTCCTATTTTTTTAATCTTCATTCTTCAAAAATTCAAAAATATGAACTCACCAAAATGATTTGCAAGAATTTCCTTAAGTAAAAAGCCGAAAAGATGTCAATGTAATATGAATGAGATGGTTGATTGTTTCAAGAAAGAGGCAAAAGAAGTTTTAGGAGAATCTTGAGGGAAATGAAACTTCAATAAGGAAACTTAGGGGTGGAATGATGAGGTTCAGAAAGCCATTAGTGAAAAACGATCATGTTATAAAACTTGACAGTATAATAGAAATGATCAAAACTTAGAAAAATATAAAAATGCTAAGAAAAATGCTAAACAAATAGTAAGTAAAGCTAAATTTAAGGCATAAGATAATCTATATAATAAACTGAAAACAAGATAAGGTGAAAAATATGTCTTCAAATTAGCAAAAATAAAAGAGAAAAAGTGTAGGGATCTAAATCATATTAAATGCATTAAGAGTTAGGATCAAAGGGTCTTGGTGAAAGATGATGAGGTAAACGAAAGGTGGAGAGTTTATTTTCAAAAATTATTAAACGACGAACACAATGGGAACATAACGGTAGAAAGAACTGGTGATACAAATGAGGGGAGAGGTCATAGATATATTCGTAGGATTATGATGTCGGAAGTGAAAAAAACTTTAAAAAAGATGAAGATAGGAAAGGCTTTAGGATTAGATGGTATACCGATAGATAGGAAAAAGTATTGTGGTACCTATTTACAAGAACAAAGGAAATATACCAAATTGTGCGAACCATCGAGGGATAAAGCTTATAAGTCATACTACGAAACTTTGGGAGAGAGTGATTGAGCAACGACTAAGACATGAAACGAGTGTATCTAAAACCAATTTGATTTTAAGCCAGAAAAGTCGATAATTGATACTATTTTCCTACTTAGGCAACTGATTGAGAAGTTTAGGGCGAAGGGAAAAGACCTCCACGTGGTATTTATTGATCTAGATAAAGCTTATGATAGAGTACCTCGAGATTTGATTTGGTGGGTGTCAAAAAAGAAAAGAGTTTCAAGACACTACATCGACTTGGTGAGAGATATATATGATGGAGTGTTAACTAGTGTGCGAACAACTAGTGGAGAGTCGAGTGAGTTTTCAGTGACAATAGGTCTACATCAAGGGTCAATATTGAGCCTGTACCTCTTTGTCTTTGTTATGGATGACTTAACTAGGCACCTACAAGATGAGATACCATGGTGCATGTTGTTCGCAGATCACATAGTTCTAATCGATGAGACCCGAACGACGTCAACACAAAGTTAGAACTTTGGAGGGATGCTCTAGAATCCAAAGGTTTTAAAATTAGTTTTAAAATTAGCAGGACTAAGACAGAGTATATGGAATGCAAGTGTAGTAATAATATGAATAGAAACGAAGTAGTCAAGATTGATGGCTAGGAAGTACAAAAAAGACCACACTTTCGACATCTTGGGTCAATAATCCAAGAAAATAGAGGGACTGAGGAAGATGTCGCACAATAGAAATAGAGCTGGGTGCGCAAAGTGGATATGTGCAATTGGATTTTTATGTGATTGCCGCTACTAATGAAGTTGAAGGGCAAGTTCTATAGGACAGTTGTGAGACCAGTTTTGCTCTATGGGGCTGAATGTTGGGAGGACAAAAATACAACATACCTATAGAATGAATGTAGCGAAGATTAGGATATTGAGATGGATGAGTGGCAAGACAAGAAGAGATAGAATTCAAAATGAATCTATTCAGGAGAATTTAGGTGTGGCACCAATAAGTAATAAGATGAGAAAGAGTAGACTTAGGTGGGCTAGCCATGTGTGGCGCCGACCAAGTACAACACCTATTAGGAAGTGTGAGTTAGTTCAAGTGGAAGGAGTTAAAAAGGCAAGAGGTAAGCCCAAAGATGTGGTTGAAAGTAGTTCGAAAAGATATGGGGATTGGGGACATATGGTCTCAAAGAGGATATGGCCTTTAATAGAGCAGAATGACGGACCAGGATTTGTGGAGCCAACTCCAATTAATTGGAAAAAGACTATGATGATGATGAAAAGGCCGAAAAGATATTAGTTATTGAATGATTTTCCAAGTCAATAAATCATTTTATATCTCAGCAAATATTAGATTAAAAAAACATGCTGTTACAATTAATATCCATACTAGCAATGGAAACATGATGGAATATCAAGATGATTCAAACTTCGTTGAGTGAGGCATCTTACCAACTGTAATATCACAACCACCAAAAAATTCTCCATCGATATAAAGCTGAGGAAATGTTGGCCAGTTCGAGTACTCTTTCAATCCTTGACGCAACAATTCATTCTCGAGAATGTTGAAAGTTTCAAAGGGTACATTCAAAGACTTCAATATCTGCACAACTGTGTTGGAGAATCCACACATTGGGAAGTCCTTGGTCCCCTTCATAAATAGGACCACTTTGTGTGATGTAACAAATTTGTCCAAAGTAGACGTTAACTCAGGATTCAATGCTGAAGAGACATGAACAACATGTAATAAGCATATAGAATTTTTAAATAAACCAAAACCTAGAAAAACCTTTATATATTTAATATTTATTAATCAT